TGAGTGTAGAACGTCTCGTCGCCATCCTTGACAACTCCACACTGCAGGTAATCGTGAATGTCGTGTATGATGGCCGTCGCCATTGGCCATGGGTAGACAGCCGCCGCAGCTGTCTTGTTGATGCTGGTGCCTGGAAACGAACCCTGCAATACGGTTGCTCGCTGCACTTCGAGTCGCCCTGGCACTTCAGCAGGACGCGTTCCAGGCTCCTGTGTTGATCATGAACAGAAAGGCCTTCTTCTTTACTGAGACCCACGTTTAAGGATTCACTTCTCCAAGCTGGCACTGATCCAGATATCCGAACATCCGAACTTGCCGTACTGTACGATGGGCTTGAGAGGAGAGCTCTTGAGGATCACTGAGCTCATCGGATTCTCGAGGACGCCTGCTCGCCCTTCCTTGTAGATCTTCCGAAACCTCTGAGAGACCCACTGTAGGTTTGGACACTCAGCTTGTCGAGATGCTTGGAGCTTCGAAGCCTCCTTCGTGACTGTGGGCGCTGACCGTGGCGAGCATCTTGCGACCAGAACTCCATCAGGCTTGACAAGGTTTTGTCGATCTTGTCCAGGAGCTCTCGGCGAGCCTTGCGGCGAATATCCCAGCCATACCTGAAATCACGAGGAAAGCTGATCGCAAAGCCTGACATGTATGCGCACAGCGAGAACCGTCCTGAGCCACTCATGCTGGCGAGAAACTCCAAGTTATGATATTCCTGAGATATCCGCTCACGCCACTCATCCGCGTCGTCAGGAGCGATGACGACCAGGCCACTGAAGTATTAGAATTCCTCGGGCATGCAGACGTAGTACTTCTCCAACTGCTGCTTTCCTTTCTCGTCCATGCCCTGTGGCCATGCGTCTTGGGTGTAGACTTGATCTGGCACGCCCATCCAGATAGATGTGAACCTCTAGTTATGGAGTTGACGCAGGCGCTGAAAACCTTGATAGCGCGGTGAAAAACAGAGCTCGTGCTGCCGGCAGAACAGGTGTTTTGTGAATTTCGTGATGTACTTCACTGTTTGGTACTGGAGCTTCTTTCAGAGGGTCTTGAACGAGTCCGATACCTGTCCTTTCAGCCTCTGCGGGTGGCGGACCTTCGATCTCCGATTTGGCATGGCTGAACGCCCTCTCGATGTTGGCCGAAACTCCTCGTTGAGGTTTCTCAAACCAATGGGCCTTCAATACCTTCCAGAGCTCTCGTTGTTCATCAGCAACTTCCAAAGCAGTCTGTTCAAATCTGTCCGTCGGCAGTAGGTAGTGGTTCGAGTCGGTGTAGAGGATCCGCACCAGAGCCACTTGAGGAGGATCGTGTTTCCTCTCGCCAGGCGCCGATATGATCATGGTGCCGTCTCGTCTGCCATAGACTCCACAAGCCACCATTGCACTGCAATCCACCATGCTTGGAAGCGGCATCAGTCCAGGACAGGATGAACCTTGGTTGCCGGTCAGGTCGGTTGAGAAGGTTTCTCCTGGCAGCCCTGGCACTCCAAGAGGCATGGTGCACATTCGCAGTCCTGGCTCAGGTCGACCTCCAACGCCTGTGAACATGGACGTAGAGGGGCCGCAGAATACCTCGCTCATGATGCCGATCGGCGCGACGACCTTATCCAGGAATATCCGCAAGGTGTCTGTGCCCATCGAGGCTGAGGATGCTCCTGTGTCCACTAGGAGCCCCAGCCTTTCCACACCTTGAACCACACGCATGATGCCGAATGTCTCGCCATTCGCGGGGAAGTTGTACGCCATGTTGATCGTCGCCATCGTCATGGATGTGGACTTCTTGAGCAGCGGGCCAGCTGCTGGTCGCACTGCCTGATGCAGAAGAGGATCCAGGCGTGGGTGCTGCTGGCGCTGCCTGGTCTGTCGGAAAGTTGAAAATCGTCGTCTGCTCAGTAGGAGTGACCACTGCAGCGCCCCTATCGAACTTCGTGCCAAGCTGGACTGTTTGCTTGACGGGTAAAGTAATATTCAGTATAGCTGATATCGTCTGCGAGGGCGAGCCCAAGGTGAACAACTCAGGCCTGGGGCCACTGCGTCTCCATCATTTGTCGACGTCATACCATGAGTGAACCAGCTACTCTGTCTCCATCATACTCTTCGCACTGATACGAGTCGTCCTCGTAGTAGCTATTGTTCTTGCCGGTCATCTTGCCCTTGCTGTTGCTGCTGCCTCGCCATGCTTTGCCAAAGCCTTTTCCACTGGAGCGTCCGTCCTTGCCGTTCTTGTTTGACTTGGACTTGCTGCGATACTTACCCTTGCTGTTGTTCCTGTACTTTCCCTTCTTGCCGTAGCAGTCGCCCGTCTCGGACGGCGAACCCGACGAGGTCTTCGGTAAAGAGCAGTGGGTGAAGAGGTGAGCCACATGTCGTGTAACCATCTTGAGAGGTCGCCTTGCCTCCGCTCTTGAGGCCTCCTCGTCCTTTGTTGCCGTAGTAGTCCTCTTCCGCGTACTCCTCGTACTCCTCGTCGTAGGTGACGTTCTCTTCGTCGAAGCTGTCTTCCCAGTCGGTGCTGACGTCGTACCACGTTTCTTCTTGCCATCCAGCGTCGTGGCCGACCTTCCACGATCAATCTGAGATCCAGGTCTCAGGATAGTCGTAGTCTGACTCCCAGTAGGCTCCTTCATCTGTCCAATACTGTGAGACCATGGCTGGAATCGAAGATGTTGCGTTGTGGTACTTGTGATTGGCCATTCTCTGCATCAAAGCGATGAGCTCGGGAAACGATTCGAATCTTCTTGAATCTGCATGCGTCGGTCCGCATCTTTTCCCTGACATCTGTAGCAACAGGAAGCTCTCGCCGACGTTGTTCAACTACAGGCTTCCTTTGTCAGAGGCCTCCTCGAAGCATAGGCGGCACATTGTGAGGAAATCATTCATCGGTAGGTGGCCTCTGGTGAGTGAGAAGAAGCTTGACAAGGCAACGATTGACATTTCTTGGTCTTGAACCTCGAACTCCTGAACCAGAATATCCATGAGCAATGAGGCTACTGCTGGCCCAGCGGAATGTAGAACACCTGCAGCGTCTTGCCACTCAGGATGCGAAGGTTGAGCTAGCAGTTCGTCTCCTTCCATCTTGCGTCGTACTCCTCCGGTGAGGTCCAGCCTGTCACGTTTCATCTTCATCGCTATCTGGAACGCCGACCCTCTGAGACGTCCTGCCATCGCTGGAGCTGCTGCATGCTCTGCCAACTCCGTCTGCCTCCACCATAGCCTGAGCAACTGGATGTAGCGGCGCAGTGGGTCCTTGCCGTTGCCTGGCCGCCATCCTGGCGGCGTGTTCTTGTTGAACGTGTCGAGAGGTATGCCGCCGCCGCGGCCTGAGGTGTCTCCGTAGTCCATGGCTGTGCGCGTCCGCACAGCGAGCCGGGTGTCGATGCTGAAGGTGATGAGGATCGGTGAAATTGCAGCTGCAAACACGCGTACGATGAGCCAAGTGATGCCGCTCGCATACTTCTGCTGCTGCTGATATATGCAAGGGTTCATTCCACCGGCGCCCAACAGACAATTTTGAGCGAGAGGAATTAGGGTGGGAAGGGTAACTTGCGCGCGTCACGGGCGCGGACCCCCCAAACATCGCAGACGCGGTGTTCCGCAAGACGCAGCCCTGCTACGCTCGCGTAGACTATTCGTCGAGATCGCTGGCACTCGACGCTGAACTGGAACCTGAACGGCGAAGCTGAGGGCAGCGAGACGGCGAGTCTCAAAGGACTTGCCACCACATCAGTGCTAACACAGTCAGTTTTCCAGCGTAAGCTTTCGAACCAGATGTCTTGAGCCATCATTGTTATGGATAGTCGAATACAGATTCAAACACATCCCGAACATATCTCTGATGGTTCTGAAGCCTCTTACCCCGAACTCATACACAATCTAACTGGAGGGTGGAGGGATGAGGGGGGAGGAGGGATGAGGGAGGGAGGAGGTAGGAGGGAGGAGGGAGGGAGGGAGGGAGGGAGGGAGGCAGGGAGTCCCCCAGGGCCGGCTCTTCCTCCAGGGTCCTCTTGTGGCCGGCCTCGAGGTCCGGCGAGGCCCCCCCCCCATAGGTGCCGAAAGCGGGCGCAGCTTCCGCACGGCCGGCTCGATGCTCTGGAGGTCTGCGTCCATGCTTGATGGGCTTGCTTTCCACCAACACCACCATGAGTTGGGGGGGGGATGAGGAGGACGAAGAGGAGGAGGATGAGGAGGAGGATGAGGTGGAGGATGAGGAAGAGGATGGAGGTGGAGGAGGATGGAGGTGGAGGTGGAGGATGAGGAGGAGGAGGAGGATGGAGGTGGAGGATGAGGAGGAGGACGGAGAGGAGGACCCCCTCCCCCTCCTACTTGTGGTGGTGGCAGTGGAGAAGGAGCCCACCAATGCCCCCGTGACTCGGGGGAGCGAGGGGCCCCAGGCGTCGCTCTCCTCTCTGCGTGCGCGCCCTCCCCTCCGTGCGCGGGCACCCAGCACCCGTGCCATCTCTCGTGGCGGATTTCTCCGTGGGGTCTAGAGTCAACGTCAGGCATGTCCCTCTACAGGAGGAGTCTTCAAAAGTATGGAAAAACCGTCTGGGGACGATGGTTCGGCTATGTTTGATCATTTGGGGGTATTTGTTGTGACTATGTTTGACATGTCGTCCAAAATCCGCCTGTAGGGGGACATGCCCGACCTAAGCCTACAGTCGACCCGCACGGTAAGGATGGGCAACCTTCCCAAGGGTATCCTTACATCCTTGCCCCTTCGGCCCATCCTTGTCCACTTTCGCTGGCCGCGCCCCGTTTGAAAAGCCTCGAGATGGCCTTCCAAGGCCCTTGCGTCCCTATCGCGCATCCTTCTGATACGGGTTGACTGTATGGGTGTGTGCTGTTGGCTGGGGGCCCCCGCTCGAGCGGGAGCCCCCGCTCGGGGTCAAACAGCCCGCACCCATGCCTACAGCCCCCTCGGCCCCATTGCCCCTCCCCGTGCCTCCTCCCTCCAGGTCTGGATGTGTGCTTGTGGCTCTGTCGCCGCCCTCCTCTCCGCGCAGGCCCGAGCCGCGCGCGCCGCGCAGGCTCCCCCCGCCTCGCGCCCCCCGCGAAGCGGGCCCAAGCTGATGGGCCTGTTTCCACCACCACCACCATACAGTGGAGACCCATGCCAACAAACACCCTGCTTGCCTCCAGGGTGCCCTCGGTTTCTAGGTCTTCGATGGTTCTGCGACGGACAGCGTAATGTTCCCACACCGAAAGTCCATCGACGTCCTGGGGTCTCAGGGTTGGGTTCCTTGTGGAAGGTCTCTTGTGGACTGGCGTCCACTGTGAGTTGGAGGGAGGAAGGAGGTGGTGGAAGAGGAGGAGGAAGACGAGGAAGAGGAGGACCCCATGCCCTTCCTACTTATGGTGGTGGCGGTGGGAGGAGGAGGAGAAGGAGGAGGGGATGAGGAGGGAGGGGGGAGGGAGGAGGAGGAGGGGGGGGCAGGAGGAGAAGGATGAGGAGGAGGAGGAGGAGGAGAGAGGAGGAGGGAGGAGGAGGATGAGAAAGAGAAGGAGGAGGAAGTGGAGGAGGAGTAATAAGAGGAGGAACAGGAGAACCAAGAAGAGGAGGAGGGGGGGGAAGAGGAGGAGGAGGAGGAGGAGGAGGACCCCATCCCCTTCCTACTTGTGGTGGTGGCGGTGGATAACCAGCCCACCACGAGCGAGCGCTGGGGGCCCCCGACGAGGGCGAGCCGCACCCACGAGAGAGAGCCAGATGCGGGCGATGGCGAGGGTCTCGCCGGCAGAGCCCGACCGCCGGGGCCTGCGGGTGCCGGGCGCGAGGGACGCCACGGGCGGCACATCCAGCAGCTTCCCAACGCTCGGATTAAGTCGGGCATGTCCTCTTCTACAGTAGGAGTATTCAGATATAGTTGCACTATCGTCTGGGGGCGATGTTTATATACATATACATATATATATACACGGTCGTGTATATATATATATATATATATATATATGTATAGTTTTGTTTTGGCCATGTTTTAACTGTTTTCGAGCATTCTTGATTTGTCCATCAAGATTTGCCTGTAGGGGGACATGCCCGACCTGTCCCTCGAAGAGGAAAAGACTCGAGCATGTACCACTACTCGATGAGTGCCTGCTCGCAGATGTCAGGAAAACACCGGTTTGCCTCGATGTAAGCTATATATTGTCAGTCCCCCGCGGCGGATTTGGGCCATTTGCGAAAGGTTACGTTGCGAGTAGTGGAACGCGCTTGTCTAAAGACGGCATACAGAATCTGTTTGAGCTCCGCACGGGTTTCTTGGATCGGCGTTGGGACCCACTGACGGCGCCTCTAGCCCCATCCCTGGCACCGTTCGCGCCAGGGAGCAGTCCACCGCCGATCCAAGAAACCCGCGCATACCTCCAAGAAGAAATGCTTATGAGGAATATTCCAAAATAGACAAAAATAATCCGGGAACGATCTTTCCAATACTTGTTGCATAATTTTCAATATTTTGTAACTATTCTTGATTTTTCTTTGAACATCCGCCTGTAGGGGGACACGCCTGACCTGACCCTGCCCCAGCGGCACAATTTCTGGGGCCCCTTCTGCGCAGATCTGCGTCGCCAGGGGCGTCGGAGTATGAGAGGTCACGTCTGGACGGGGCTAGGACGGGGCTAGGACGAGCGTGCGGGAACGCTCTCAGAGCGTTTTGGAACGCTCTGAGAAGGCCGCGGCGCCCGAGACATCTTCCACAGCGGTGGGATCTCAGAGATTCTCTTTTCCCCAATCAGTGCTTGCACAGAAGGGGTCCTGGCGGATATTGAAAGATTTGGCGAAAGTTTCCCGCCGACTTTGGTGGTCGGCTGGGTTCCCGGATTCCTGGTTCCAGGTTCCGGGCTCCTGGTTATTAATTCCAGGCCTGGGTTCCCGGGTTCCTGGTCGGGTTCCTCCAGAGCCGCCAGATCTCAGAGATTCTCGATGGATCTTCGCCCGATGTGATCCTCGTCCTGGCCTCGTCGTACATTCTGCAAAGACCTTCGTCGCAGGGGGGTGTCGGAGTACGAGAGAGGCCACGCCCACGCCCTCGCAGAGCTCGGCCGCGACCCAGCGGGTGCCAGTGCGCTCCGGCGCCGCCTCGTGGCGCGCATGCCTCGTGCCAACAAGCCCACCCCCGGCATCCCGTACTCGTGGGGTCGCGGCCGAGCGCCTGCGCTCGCGTTGGCATGGGAACGGCTGGCTTTATGATGTTCCAACTTACTTGAGCCTTGATCACCAGACAGAATTTCGAGCACCAGCAAAGTACCGAAACTCAGAGGTTTTCACGTGTCGGGCCCTGGGAGACACTCGTCCGACACTGTTTCGGCACTTTTCTGGGTGCTCGGAATTATTTTTGGGATGTGGTCATTAAGTACGACGGGGGCAACATAACGCTGGGTCCGTCGTCCACTAGGACCATGATCCCACGAGCTCGAGAGGGACTGTAGACAGCTGGAGGAGCAGCGGGACCCGCGGATCCCACAAGCGCGCCCGGACGATGCTGCTCTCGAGGGTGGACCTCGGGAAGGTGGAGAAACATAACCTGTCATGGAGGGAGCGCTGGTATGGGTCCAGCGTCGCGGCGTCGTGCCGCAAGGGCATCCGCAGCAGGGCGTTCTCCTGCGTTGCGATAGTATGCCTCTTTTGTGCCCTTTTTCTGTACGACACGTTCGTGCTGCTGCAGGTGCCGTCGAACGTCGAGCTGGACGTCGTCCTCACCCTGGTGCTCCTCGTCTTCCTGTCCGAGTTCCTGGGGTTGGCGCTCACGGAGAGCACGTACCCGGGCGGATTTTTCTTCTGGATGGACCTCATCTCGAGGAAGAAAAATTGTCAGGACTCCTCAGAATCTGAAGGGGGAAAAAGCACAGACACAATCAACTGTCGATCCCCAAGAAAATATTGGGAGATATGGGAATTGTGGGGAAGACGACAAGCCACAACATCTCGGACAATATTTGGAATCCTGGGATTTGTACTTATTTATCTGTGAGTCCATGGGCCTCCTTACAGAAGCCCTCGCGCCTTCTACCTTCCGCCCCCTGTGTCTTCGGAGGTGGCTCCAGAGGGCTCTTGCGAAGCCCCGCCGCCGTGGCCCCCTCGCACTTCCCCCCTGGGCTCGCCTCGAGCGTGTTTCTTCATTGCTTGGGGCATAACGGGCTTTATAGCCCCCGGCCCCCCCCTCCCCCCCCCTTATAACGTAACGTCCCTTCCCCCCCAAGTGTGCTCCGGGCACTGCCGCCGTGCGCACGGCGGGGGGAGGCATTGCATCATACCCCCCACTGGCCCCTCCCCTACCTCCTGTAATGCCCATTTTCGCCGAAAATAAAGAAACGCGCTTCTCCGAAGTCTTCCGGACGCCCAGCCCCATAAAAGCCGATAAGGCATGCGACCGACCAAAAGAACCTGTCACCGAAAACAAGCCAGAAAGTTGTGCCCGAAAGCTTGGTGCGACCGAAATTGTGATCGGCTTTGGTTTCGAACCAAAGAATTCGGTCCTACTCCTGCGCGTTCAGAACATATAGGGCGCCAGTTTCGGTCGCACTCGGGCAGATTTCCGTGGCGAGCAGGGGGGAGGAAACGAGAAGGAGAAGGCCTTCTCACAGAAGACGGCGGGACTTCCCAGAAACGCCCTCGCGCCTTCTCACAAGTTTGTTCTGTGCCTTTGGGGCAGGCCCAGGAAACTGTTCAGAAGGCCAGGGGGCTGCCGAGACTTCCAAGCAGGCCCGCCCCCTCTCACTTCCCCCCCTTCGCTCGCCGCCGATCTTTGTGTTAAGTCGGGCTTGTCCCTCTACAGGAGGAGTATTCAAAAATAGTTTCATTTGTTTTAATAGTCTGGGGACGATTTGTTCTTCCGCGTTTCTGATTATTTTTGATTATGTCTTGGGTATTTTTGAGCTGTCGTCCAACATCCCCTCGTAGGGGGACACGCCCGACTTGATCTCAGTGTTTTCTTCCTCGGCCGTCGGCACCCTCTCCATGCTCTTCGACATCTCCTACCTCCTCGGGGCCGACGCCACGAGCCCGGAGCGCGTGAGCGAGGCGAGCGCCAACGAGAACGTCGCGCTCGCGCGGGCGGCGCGCACGGCCAGACTGGGGGCGCGCGCCGGGCGCCTCACACGGCCGTGGGCCTCGTCGAATCCGGGGCAGCGGGGGGGGAGGGGCACACAAGGGGGGGGGCGGAAAAGAGGGGGGTGATGACTAGGGGCGGGGTGGATATCATGGCGGGGGCCATGATATCTCCCCAGATTTCGTGGCGCCTCTTCTTATTTGATTACGTCCCTGGCCCCCCCGCGGGGCCACGCACATGCCGCCGGTCATGATTTGCACCCCCTCCTCTTGGACACCCCCCTCTTGGCCGCTCCCGAACAGGGGGGGGGGGAGGCAGCGACCCCCAGCCTGCCCATTGATCGCAGATAGGGGCCCGATAGCCCCAGCCTGCCCAGGAAGGGTCGGATGCACCATCGGAGGCCCAACGCCGATCTATGGATGATGTATCGCCGATTCCAGGTCGATTCATCCCCCCCAATGCCCATCCTCTCTTATCGTTGCCCCTCATCGAAGACATGCACCAATGCATCAAGCAGTGGCGAAGCGTCCCGGCTCGCCTACAGGCCTACCAAATAATGTTCTGAGAACCTCTTGTGGTCTGCACGACGTGTTCTCAGAGCATTTCTGGTTGGAGCTGTCTTGTTTTAACACATCGGGTTTATGTTCTAAGAACGTTGTTTTTGTTATTGGAACATTTTTGGGTTTTAAGAAAATTCCGTGGTTGGCCTATAGGAATCCCGGGACGGCCGTCGGTCTTTTCGACGACATGCACCATGCTCGGTATCGTTTAACCAATCCCCATACCCATCGATCCTCATCCCCTTCGAGACCCCCACAAAGTTACCACCCGAGTCGGGGATACACTTCTCGAAACCCGAAGGGAACGGCCTATATCCCCATCTAGGGGGGTAATCGGCCAGTGGGGCGCAGGCCACGCCGCTGGGGATGGGGATCGGTTGAACGATATTCAAATCATCAACATTCGCGGAAACAGTTGCATAGCGATCGTTGTCTTATTCATTGTTGCGCCCATCGGCGCGGGCCCTCGCCCCCCCCGCTCTCCCCCCTCCCGATGGAGTAGGTCTGGGCTGTTCCTTGCGCTTGTTTTGATCAGGTGGAGTCTCCCCCATGGGACGCAGTGTTGCAAACAGTCGCATGAAGCAGAGGTCCGGCCAGACCCCCTCCGCCCTCCCCCCTCTTCCGCCCAATGTCGAAACGCCGAATACGAAAACGCTCACATACCAAATCAAACAACTAATTATGTAATGATCCTGGGGCCCGAAAAAAACAATTCGGCGGGCGTGAACAAAAATGCGGCGCCCGGACCTCAGGGAGGCGAGGGGGCTCCATTGTACATCCAAGAAATCCGCGCGGACTGTCGAAAGTTCATATTGATGCAGTTGTTTCTTCTTTTAGCCCTCTTGTTCTCCTCCCCCGTGGGCGGGCAACGCATCCATCCTGACACCTGGGCGCCGCATCTTTTCCACGCCCGTCGATGTTGCTTTGTCCCGGGCCCCAGAACCATCACATATTGATCTGGCTCGAAAAGGGCCCCAAAAAGAGTGTGTCTGGCGCTCCGGTGGTGACCTCTCGACGTGCTGATTCGGGAGGCCTAGCGGCTGGTGCCGCCGACCCTGAAGGGGGACGGCGACGACGGCGGAGGCGGCGGCAGTGGCGACGACGACGATGCTGACGCTCTGGAGCCTTTTTTTGGATCGGGGGTGGACAGAACCCCCCCCCCTGACACGTCGATTAGTGAATTGTCCGTTTTCGGTTCTCGAGAGGGCGCCGCGGCCGTCGTTTTCCAGGCTTGCGCCCGCCAGGTTTGGGCCCGAGGTCGTTTTCACTAAACCACGTTTTACTAAAGGGGGTTCTGTCCATCCGCGGTCGGAGCACGCCGACCGGGTCGGCGGATTTTTTGTCCACAGCGTCGGATCTCACGGAGATCCACGGCCTCGCTGGCCGGGCCCCCGGGCCGCGCCCCAGGTGGGAACGGAGTGTTTTTTTGGGGCGGAGGCCCCGCGCGGAGAGATGCACTCCAGTGCGACCGCGTGTGTCCGCGGGAGCGTGTCCTGGAGGGCAGGCTGCGAGGGCGTGGGTAGGAATAACTGGTCGCCGCCGTGGACCCCCTCCTCGTCCTCCTCCTCCCCTTCCTCCTCTTCCTCCTCCTCCTCCTCCCTCCTCCCTCCTCCCTCCTCCCTCCTCCCTCCTCCCTTCGCCCTTCTCCCTCCTCCCTCCTCCCTCCCTCTTCCCTCCTCCCTCCTCCCTCCTCCTCCCTCCTTCCTCCTCCCTCCTCCGACAAATGGCGCATCAAACAAGGACTTGGATCTCAGTCGACCCGCACGGTAATGATGAGCGACCTGCCCACGGGAAACCTTGCATCTTTGCCCTTTCGGCCCATCCTTGGCCACTTTCGTTGGCCGCGCCCCGCTCGAGAAGCCTCGAGTTGGCCTTCAAGGCCATTGCGTCCTTATCGTGCATCCTTATGATACGGGTTGACTGTACCAGCAGGTGCCCCGCGGAGCTATCTTAAACCCACAGGAGCTCTGGGGCACCTTTGGGGACGCTCGAAGATCGAGTCGAATAGTATGGCCCAAAATTTCGTGCAGAGGTATGCCCTGTTGACTGCTTATCCTCCTCCCTTGGCCCCCCGTACCCTGCCCAGGGTGCTGAAGGTCTTGCGGTTCTTGCCCTTCCTGTACACGCGGAAGGACGGCAGCGGCAAGGTGAAGGTCGCCCACGCGATCTCCAGCCGACTGAACACCGTGCTGGCGCAGCGGGTCGCCTTCCTGACCATTGGCATCGTGGTGACGATGCCCGTCCTGAACATGTTTCAGCACCCCGAGACCGACCGTTCCTTCACCTCTTGGGCCAAGCTGCTGGCCAGGAATCGGCGGCGAGCGAGGGGGGGAAGTGAGAATTGGGGGGGCCTTGTCAGAAGTCTCAGAAGTCCCCCACCCAGCCTTCTGGGTGGTTTCCTAAGCCTTCCCCAGAGGCTGAAACAACCTCATAGACAGAAGGCGCGAGGGCTTCTGAGAAGTCCCGCCGCCTTCTGAGAAGGCCTTCTCATTCTCACTTCACCCCCTCGTTCCCCGCCAAAGGAACGTCGAGGAGGTGCTTGCGAGCTCGGGTGGTGCGGCGGAGGCCGCCGTGCGGGTGCGGATGGACTCTGAGCTGCAGCGCTTCTCGGACTTCTACAAGGATTATGATGTTCCAGCTTACTTTAGCCTTGATCGCCAGAACAAACATTCGAATAGCAAGACAAATTACCGACACCGGTTTTTCGCGTGTCGGGCCCCGGGAAGTGATGCCGTTTCGATATTTGTCTGGGTGTGCGCGAACTTCTTTCTGGCATGATGAAGTACGATGGGAACAAGAGCGTGTTTCTTTATTGCTTGGGGCATAATGGGCTTTATAGCCCCCGGCCCCCCCTCTCCCCCCCTGTAACGTAACGCCCCTCCCCCCCCGATGCGCTCCGGGCACTGGCGCCGTGCGCACGGCGGGCGGGAGGCGTTACATTATACCCCCCCCCCGGCCTCCCCCCTCCCCCCCCCATAATGCCCATTGTCGCCGAACAAAAAAGAAACGCGCTCAAGGACCTGAACTACGGTCCGTACAAGGTCTGCCACGGGGACGGCTCGGGCTGCCAGCCGGATGGGCCGGACGTGTTGGCGCTGGCGTTCAGCTCGCCCTTCGAGGAGCCCGTGCGGCGCGCCTCGATCCAGGAGGTTGTCGTGTCCGACTTCCATGCGTTCTACGACATGTCGGTCGTCGCGGCGCTGGAGTCGGCCGCAAACATGGCGTCCATCGTGCTCGTGGTCGCAGTCATGTTGGTCTTCGGCCTGCTGATGAGCAACAACATCAGCGTCGTCGTCCTCGTGCCCCTGGAGCGCATGCTGAGCGTAGTGAGGGGGCACTGCAAGCAGATCTTCAAGTTCGCTGCGGGCATCCAGGAGGACGACGGCGAGCCTGTGGACGAGGGCGAGGAGAAGACAGATGGCAACGAGTTCCAGCTACTGGAGGATGTGATCGGCAAGCTCGCTGGTATCGCCGCCCTCTCGACCAAGAAGAGCCAGCCCCGGATCACCAAAGACATGAGAGAGGAGGACATTATCCAACTCAATTGGATGCAGGGCGGGGCCGCTCCCAAATTTTCGAGCTTCTCGGGGAGGCGAGGCAGTACTCCCTCCGAGCACGATTTGGGCCCGAGGACCCTTTCTGGTTCGATGCCCCGGCAGTCGGACACGGGCATCGTGGACAACATTCCCTCCGAGGTGCTGGTGTCCTTGGACACATCGCATTGTAACGTGCTGGAGTGGGATAAAAAGCGGCAGCTTGGGGTCTGCGAGTACATCTTCACGTGCAAGGGGGGCTGTGCAGAGTGGGTGTGCGTCCACGTTGAGAGCCAGACGCTGCATAATTTCATTGCGGCCGTGGAGCAGGGGTACCCGCCGAACCTCTTCCACAACTTTTCCCACGGCGTCGACGTGCTGTGTTCTGTAGCGAGGTTCCTGCAGCTGATCGAGGCGGGTGGGTTCCTCGATGAGGTCTCGCAGTACCTCTTGCTTATCGCTGCCCTGTCACACGACGTCGGGCACCTTGGCGTGAACAATCAGTTCTTGATGGAAACCTCGCACGAGCTCACCCTCAAGTACAATGATCGGTCTCCGATGGAAATGCTGCACTGCTCAAAGCTCTTTCATATCGTAAGGGATCCTTCGTGCAACATTTTCCACAAGGTCGACAAGGACCTGTACAAAGACATGCGGAAAACCATCATCGATGGCATTCTGCACACCGACATGAGCCACCACTTCAGCATGGTCAATGATCTTGGGCTTCTCTACCAGTTGAACTCGGACGCTTTCGATCAGCTGACCCCTGGCACTGTGGTAAAGGATTCACCTCAGACCGTCCAGACTGTTCTGAATGCGCTCTTGCACTGTGCGGATATCTCAAACCCGATGAAGCCGTGGGAGCTGTGCCACAGAATTGCCTACATGGTCCTTGACGAGTTCTTCGCTCAGGGCGACAAGGAGCGCGAGCTCGGCGTGCCAGTCCAGTTCCTGAACGACCGCGCGAAGGTCAACAGGCCCAACTCTCAGGTCGGTTTCATCGAATTCGTGATCGCCCCGATGTGCGAGGCTTGCGTCCGCTTGTTTCCTCAGCTGTGTGATTTGGCTGACAACTTGGGCCACAACATCAGCAAGTGGAGCGACGTGTGGCAGGCCGAGTCGAGCCCTGAGCAGGCGGAGATTGACAAGGTCACCGCGCGCGTCCACAAGGTGTTGCTGCGCTTTTCCGACCTTCCGCCGCGACTGTCAAAATATGGCATCGCTGTCCTCCTCGCATCCCAGAGAGAGCTCCGTGCGCCATGCCCGCCCCCCGTGCGCCACCGACGAGACCCGAGGGACGGACACAGAGGAGACCGATCCAGCCACCCCGTCCCCCTTTGCGCAAGGGGAGGAGTTGCCCACCATTCCTCGTCTCTGGGGACATCGTTGTCCTTGATGTGCACGCCGCATCCATCTGTGCGATGTGAGCGAGCATGTGAAGGCCGTGGTCGTTGATACACCGCGGGGGGGGGGGGTGATGGTCGGCGAGCCAGGTTGCCCCTGCGGGTACTCATCCTGCGCGTCTGGAAGAGGGAACAACGGCACAAGCATGAACTTTCGAAGTTCCGCGCGTATCTCTTGGATCGGCTCTGGGCCCTCTTGGCGGCGCTTCTGGCTCCGCTTCTGGCGCGCTCGCGCCAAAAAGGAGGGGCGTCGATTCAAGAAATCCGCGCGGACCTCCGAAAGTTTATGCTCATGCAGTCTGCTTGTTGGTCTCGAGTTCAGCATCGTCTGCCCGATCTCCATCCCCACTTGGCCACGGAATCTCAGCCCCGCAAGCCCATTTGAAGGAACAAATTGTGCAACAACAGCGCCCGAACCAGAAAGAGCCAACTTCTCCACTCCACCACCCGGTCTCAGCATTGGCAGGTATTGCGTTCGAGACGTAGGGGTCACGATTGGTTCGGCCCCCATTCTCCCGGAACGCTCGTTCAGTAGTCAGGCCAGGTGATGGACGGGGTGTCATTCGAAGCGGCTCTTCAAAACGTTTGTCGCACAATTGCGCCCGTAAACGGTGCCTGTGGACATGGGGATCGGTGACGCCATTCCGAGGGCTCCTCGCAAGTCCAGGGCTCATGCCGTTCGACCTTCCCCTGCCGCCCCCACCTTGGGGGAGAGGCGGGGCAAGTCGGCCATAACGGGGCCGAGGCCATTCCAGCAATACAGGATGATGACTATGACATTACTGGGGGCCGTGTTCTCGTGGCGGCTTTCCCCTCCCCCTGCATGACGGCCAATTCGCTTTATAGTGCCCCTGCATCGCTGCCGCGCTGGAGCGGATTGTCCCGCCTCGCCGCCGACGAAAAAGTTTACGTGGCGGCGCCTGGGATGATAATTAGAAACAACGGTCCACGGGGCCGGGAAACTTCCGCCCCCTGCCCTCCTCGGGCGCGCGCCTGGACGGTCGACGGGCCAGACGGGGCCGAAGCGAAGCGAAAGCCGAAGGTTCGGACACTGTGATGTGCATCGTTCCCCCCGCGTGTGTTGTGATTGACCGTCATCTTGCATAGGGATGGGGATCGGTGACGCGATGCTCGCGCGCGTCTCGATGGGGTCGAAGCGGGGAGGTGGCGAAAACGCCGCGTGCGTCGGCGGGGGGGACGCAGGCCGAAACCCTATTGTAATCTCAGGAGGCCTTTAGTTTTGACCCCCCCCCCCTTGTCTCTCTCGGCGACCCTCCTTCCTCCTCCTGCTCCTCCTCCTGCTCCTCCTCCTCCTCCTTCTCCTCCTCCTCCTCCTCTTCCTCCGCCCCTCCTCCGTAACCATTTTGGCTCAAGTCACCATGTCGCGTTGCGGCCGCATGGAGATCTCTGAGCCGGGGCCAGTCCCCAACTGTTTCCAGCCACATCCAGGGGTGAGCTGGCACCCAAGTTTTCTGCCGCCACTCCCAGGGGCTTGCGGCCGCCCATTCCTGCTCATCGCTCTGGCACTGTAGGCTGCCATCCATATCGCGCTGTCGAGCGGCCCGACCTCCGTCGCCGCGAGCCAGCTGGACTTCGGCCCGTCTCACGTCGCCGTCTTCCACATCCATAACCAGCTGGACGTCGACGCGCTCGTTCCCCAGCAGCAGCAGTCACCACGTGGTGACATCGCGAAGGCCCTGGGGCCTGGAGCTCTCATACCCAACTTCCTGAAGCAGAACAGCAGCCCGTTCACCCGCAGCCCTCAGTTGCAGACGTGTCTTCTTCCAGCGAAGAACGCTCTACCTCACGCAGTGCCCCATCTGCCAGCCGCAGAAGGAGAGATCGCCGTCGAGACCGCGAACGTCATGACCAAGATCGCGCTGTCCGATGTCACCCAGACCGTGCGGATAAAAGTGGCCGAGCAGTGCGTGCCGCCATGGACCTGCTCGACGACGCTGGCCCCGCCATTCAGGCGGCACCACGGTCGGGACGTGCATCTGGGCATACCGCGCGATCATGCCGTTCTTCTGCCCGTTCGCACCAGCAGCCGTCCCACTTCGCCATGGACACTGGAAATGAGGAAGCTGCACTCTCTGCACGTGCCGCCGCCGTCCCCGCTGCACACGAATTTCATGCAAGCGAGTGGGCCGAGCCCCTTCGTGAAGCACCACATCATGACCCTCTCAACGTTGCTGACCCATGGCGTACTGGAGGGGCAACAGCCCCTGTAGGGGCGGCCGCCGTCGGAACCACCGCCGACACCGAGAATGCCACTCCTGGCGAACCTGCTCGTCTTCCAGGACCGGACCCTGACCTCGACAAAGCTCTCCAAGATCTCATGCAAGCTCAAGTTGCTCACGCTGCCAGTACTTTCCAAGGCCAAGCCAGCCACTTGCTCAACGAGTCGCGTGAAAGCTTCCGCCAACTTCTCGCGCAGCAAGTCCAAGCCACTGAACGCCGAGTTGACACCCTTCATGATGTCGTCGCACGCACCCGTAGAGAACAAGACCGCCAAGCTGAATAACAGAAAAATATGTGGATGCAGATTGACCAGATGCGTGGGACCCTCGCTCTCGCCGAGGCCCAGGTGCCGATCACGGACCTTTCCAGGCTCGCCGACTGGGACCGCGAGATCGAAACCACGATCTTCACTGTTGGGGCGCAGCGGCTCATCGCCCCCGACGCGCTCCTCAACGACTTGCAGGAGTGGATCGCCTCGGCCAGCCGGGGTTCCGATGCCGTCGAACTTCGCGGTGGCGAACCCGCGCGTAGATTTGTGCTTCAAGTCAAAGGCGGTCGTGACGTTGCTATTCCGGGCGCCGTGGCGCTCACCCGTGCCCTACGCGACGCTGGTGGCAAATGGAAGCGCTTCACTACAGTCGACACCTCGGGCGCCCCGACAGACATCTACCTCGACCCCGACAAGTCGCCGAAGCAGGTCCGCACCGAGATCCAGTGTAAGAAACTTCTTCAGCTCCTTCAACACCGCCATCCTCAAAAGTCCTGGAGGGCATACCGCGCCAAAGGCGAGATCCACTGCGACGCCATGCCTGTCGTGCGCCTGGACGTTAAGGGACAAGCCGACCCCACCATCCTCGAGTGGAACGAGAAGGCATTCGAGCTCCCCGCCTTCCACGACATCGACCGCGGCGCCATCCTCACTTCGTTCCAGGCGCTCTTCGCGGACGCCGCAAAAGCAACGTGGGGGGTTTAACCGCCCCTGGGCCCCGTGGAGGCCCTTTGAGGACGACAGGCCCAGCACGTTCATCACGCGGAACGCCAGAGCTCTCATGCGCCACAAGCGCTCCAGGCGGCACCGCAAACAAGCAGCACTGCAGCAGTGCATGAGGAAGGGCGCTGTCATCGCCCTCCAGGAGGTCCATGGCTCAGAAGCGCTTCTCCGCACGTGGGTGGACACGCTCTTCCAACCTCGGCCACAGAATGCACGCTTGGCTCTGGACAGTAGCGCGCGCCAGCAACAGCCCTTTTGGAAGGCCCTCTGCGACAGCATGCTCGAGATCGAATCGGACCTCCCGGCGCGCTTCAACAAGGCCGACTACTCCGCGTCGGCCATCGACAGGATCTTCATCAGCTTGCCGTCGCACGCGATGCTCGAGCTCACGTCCTGCATCACCATCGCACACGACGCTGCCATCCTATCGGACAGTCTCCTCAGCGACCACGCCATCGTCTCGTACCCCATCGTCATCAAGCCGAAGTCCCCGATCGAGGAGCAGACGATCTCGCCCGCGATCTTCCGCGACCCCTCGTACGCCAAGTACCTCCAGCAGCTGCTTGATCCCACTGTCACGCGCCACAGGACGATCGAGAACCGCTGGCGCTCACACAAGACCCTCATGGTCGAGGCTGCAAGGGTGGTTCGTGATGACTGGGTCAGCCGCGCTGCCTGAGAGATCGGCAAGTCTAACCACTCCGACGGCCAGGTGATCACGGCGCGCTCGATCTCGCGCGCAGTTTGGCGCCAAGCTATTCGTCTTGCTCGCCGTCTGCAGCCCACCGCCGAGCTTGGCACCATGTTCGTCAACGTCGACGACGGCAACATCACGCTCTCGGACGCCGCCGAGTTCGCCATGAAGTCCGCCGCGCTGCACCGCGACTTCGAGGCCAGGCAGCGATCTCTGGCTCAGCGCGCAGCCCAGCTGCCGCGAGGCCCCCCAGGAGCCGTCGACCCCAAGAAGCTCAGAAAAACCATTCGTTCCTCCCAGCGCAGTGCCCTGCTGTGGGCCCCCTGGAAGCGCCGCGTGGTCCTCCAGGGAATCAAGGCCACCGATCCCGAGGGCCACCCAGGGTTAGCCAGAGAGAGCGCGCCCACTGGCGGCCCGTCTTTGAGCGCAAGCACGTCGACGTCTCCAAGGTCCAGCAGTGCATTGTCCAACACATGCCCTCCCATGCCATCATCGACGTCGGCGCGCCCTCCAAGGCGCGCATCAGATGCTTTCTGCTGCGCACTACCCCGTCTGCACCTGGGCCCGACCTCTTGCCGCGCCGTGCCTGGCTCGCCGTGGGCGCGTGTCTGGACTTGCTGGAAGTCCTTGCCTGGCACCTCTGCTGCAGCCCCGACTCCGTCCACGACCTGAACGACTCTGACTTCGCGTTCCTGCCGAAGGGCGACAACCTCACGGGCGAGCTCACCGCGGACCGCCTGCCTGAGGATACACGACCGCTGCCCCTCAAGAACACAGACATCAAGGCCATCGCAGGCGCGGCCAACTTCCCCATCAAATCCGCTGTGGCAGAGCGGACTCATTACTCGCAACAGGGCTTTGTCGTGGGCCGCAACTTCACCAAGCACATCGTCAGACTCGACGCCGAGACGCGCCGCGCTGGAGTTCGGCCCGACGCCGACAAGCGCAAGCCCGTCTTCGCCAGCTTCGACTTCGCGGCGGCGTTCCCGTCGCTCGGACGCGCATGGCTATTCGCGTCGCTGGGGCGCTTCGGCGTCCCCGAGGGCCTCATGAGCCTCTTTCGCCAGCTGTGCCGCGGTC